TAAAGTATAAGCGAGCTAACCCACCAACTCGCAGGTTAGCCTGCTGTGTAACAGTCCTCACCCCACCCTCCCAAGGGTCTTTTGGACTAAGTCCACCCACATCACTGTAATGGAAGCTAGCTTTCCCCAATGTGATACTTGGGTTATTCCTCACCCTATCAAAAAGGTCTTTTAAAGCCTTTCTAAACTCGAACCTCCAACTTCTACCACTTGAAGGAAGTTGAGACTAAGTCTGGTACTATTGACATTAAGGTGGTAGAGGTTGGATGTTCGAGTCTGGAAAAGCTCCAAAAGACCTCTTTGGTGGGGTGAGGAATAACTCAAGTATCACATTGGGAAAAGCTAGCCTCTGTTGCAGTGATATGGGTGGGCCCAGTTCAAAAGACCTCCAGGAGGGTGAGGTAAGGGCTGTTACATGCTGCAAGTTCAAGTTAGCTCACCCCACATATAATTGAACCCATTTTTTTAACCCAACCCGTAATTTTTCTGTAGATTGGTGGGTTGAGCTTGCGGGACCAACTCATATTACCGGCTCTACTTCAAAAGATTCAAATTGAATAAAATCAATCAGGAGGGGAATTTTCAATAGGCTTTAAAAATTATAGAATTGGCTTCACATCTATACCTTAAGAACCCTCTTACAACATATTGCTTCGATTTCAAAGTATCCCTCATCAAGCTCGAGACAAACAACCTCTTGAGGCCCTTTATCCCTCCCTTTTCAATAACTTCCTCATGCAGGCAATGATGTCCTTAGAGTATAATGTCAATAATGTTTTTGTTTAGATGTCTATTAAAAGTATTGTGTTTTATTAAAAAGCAAAAGGGTAAAAATGTTTTAAATTTTTTTTGCAAAGGACGCTTGTTGTCTTAATTTTTTCTTAAAGCAATATCACCTCAAAACTTGTAAAAAAAAAGTACAGTATTACTTTGTTGTTAACCTATGCCAATGTTTAACCATTGAATTTTTATTTAGACTAGAAATTTACACTTGTCCTTCTCTCATTCTCTTTGCACTGTTCTTCCTCCTCAATCGTAAACCCAAAAATATTGCCATATTCAAATATTTCTAGAAATATTGACACGATGCTTCTTTCTCTCTAAATCTTCATGCTCACACACAAACACAAACACAAACCTAACTCCTTAATCCCATTGGCCCAGTAATCCATCTAACACCTCAAATCTGCATTTGTTTTCTTCTCTCTTCTTTCTTTTGAGTTATAATGGAGGAACCAAAGAAAGCCATGGATAAACATCATAGTACTACAATTTGAAACGAATTTAAAGCTACAGGTTGAAACAATAACTCGAGCAACAACAAAAGAATACCAAAAGTAAAAGCTATAGGTTGAAATGTTAAAATTAATCATAGCCTTTGTCATCATCTTCTTCACCACATACGTTCTAGCAGATCCGCTAGAGAAAAAAGAAATTATAATTCGAGCTAAGTTCAAAGGGCTAGTAGGATTTACTTAAAAAAATTTAGGGTTGAACTTAAAAAAATATGGTTTTGTTATGTTCGAACTTATTTGAGCTCAAAAAAATTCGAGCCAAGCCTGATACTGAATGGTCAAATAAAAATATTTTATTTTTACAAAATATATAAAATATAATAAATATTAGTTAACTTTTTAAGTTTTAAGTCATTTTATATTAAAATACTATATACTTGAGTCTTATACATCATTTAAGTATAAAAAAATATTTTATATTTTTATAAAATTAAATAATTAATTTTAAAGTAAAAATTTAATTAAAAATATTTTAAAAATAAAATTTGAGCATTCGAGCTGTCCGAAGGACTTTAGGCCAGCTTAGCTATTCAGGCTTTTCAAAAAATCAAGCCTGTTTGGGTTTAGATCCATTTTGATTAGGACTATCTGAATCCATTTGAATTTCTAGCTCTATCTGACCTCTATGCTTTTGAGTTTAAGCCTTATCCTAGAGGCATAAGATTCAGGGACTTTGCCCTGTCAAAGCTGAACCATGTTTTTGTGCTATGATAAGGATGATGGGGTGGAACTTCCCTGGCCTTTTATTCTTCATAGCCATCAGCGTCTTTATCTTCCTCCATGGGCAGGAAAGGCGTGGCTTTTAGGTTGGATCAGCTGTAGAAAGCTGATCTTCTGCACAACTTGGACACAATTAGAAGCTGCCTTTTCTTGTTGAAGGGATTCTCCTATTTCTTCAAGTCTTTGATGATGGTGATTTGAGATAAATCAGAGAATGACTTCTATTTACCATCGAAATGGCTAGACGATCCCCTCCTAAAACCAACTTGAATCAAAATTAGAACCCCTTATTATTCTTTAAAATGATTTATCTAAAAATTGAAACCTAAAAGTTAAAAGGATCAAGTGAAACTTTTTTAACTAGGGCATTAAAATCTTAGATAAGTCACATTAGATTCCATATGAGAGGAATCAAATCGGCAAAGATAAGGATAGAGGGAAAAAAAAGGAGAGAGGAGTCTATCCATTTCTTTCTCTCCATTTTCCTTCACTTACCCCATCTTAACCACTTATATTATTTTATTAATTTTTATTTTTAAGTTATGAAATTAATGAATGCTTGAGATAAGGAAAGTGAGGGGAAATGGGAGGAAATAAATGAAGAAACCCTCCTCCTTAAAGAAAGTGGGTGGGACTAGCTTTAGCTAGTACATTGTTTCCATTGGTTGGGTTCTTGAGGAATATTTTTTGGATTTTTTTTTTTTAGGAATGAAGCTTGCACGATCAAGGAAGAAAAACAATGCAGGGTGAAGGAGAGAACGACATGTGTAAGTTTTTGGTCAAAATAAAAATTTAATGACCAAATATTAGTATATTTAGGTTAATGTTTGGATAATATTACACTTTTTTTTAAGTTTAGGGGTGATATTATTTAAAAAAAAGTTTAAGACACTGAAAAAATTTCAGAATATTTTTTTTCATTTAGCCCTTTATTAAAACTTCACTAGTAAAAAGTAAAAATTTAATAAGACAAAAACTTACACGAGGAAAAATGATACACGATATGTTGATATTTATCGAAGCCATTGATTAAAAACTTTATCAATAAAATATAACAGGATAAAATCCCATCTCATTAAGCAAAAAAAGAGTGTAACATAACCTCCAGTTCTCTTAAAAATGATGTTTACTTGCTGTTCAAGTCAGGGTATTACGAGATTGTATATGGTTTTCTTCAATATTGTTATTGCGCGCGGGTGTTTTTGTGAGCCATTTTTTTTTCCTGTATGGATTATACATTAATCATTAATGTTCCCATATAGCACGTTGAAACATGTTTTTATATGTTGAATATAAACATATTTTCCATCTCCCTTGTGCTTTATAAGAGCAACAAAAATTATTCACGTATCTTCTTAATGGTGGTATTATTTCATGTGTATGAATAACTTCTTCAAAAAGTCTTCTTAGAAGTCGCTCTTGAAGACGAAGGTAAACATGCATATCACATATATACATAATCAATTAATTTTGATAATAGCCAAGCAGCAATTTATATCCTGTTGGAATTGGAAATATTATAGAGCATTTCCAGTGAGTTCTCTAGTATTTTTATAGTTACAATTTTAACTTTTAACTAAAGAATTACTCATTTGGTCAAGAAGAAAAAATTTAATCCTGTTTATAAAGCATTTTTTAATTTTTAATATTTTTAATATTTTTATCTTTATTAAATATTTTGAATAAAAAATAAGTAATAAAATTTTAGAATATTTCTTAAAAATAGAAGTAAAAATTTATTAAATTTTAAAATAAAATTTAAATTTTTTTTTAAATTTTAATTAAATATGATAAAAGTAATTTATAAATTACGATAAGAGAAAGTAAATAGCACTTATTAATCCTAATTTTTATGCGAGATATCGGTAAGATAGATCAACCCGCAGTAATGAAACTGGACATGGATATTAAGAGTTCAAAGTTCAGAGTCTTCGAAACTCGGTGCTGGTCAACAAAAGAAAAATACCATTCGACACATGGTGCTCTAATGTTCAAAGCCTCCATCGATGTGAAAAAAATATCCCCCTTTTTCCAAACACCCATGTCATTTTTTTTTTTATCATCAGGGCACCTATGTCAATTTATGCTATAGCAATTTATTCGCTTGAAGCATAAATTTTAAACATTGATATAAATTGAGATATTATTGTTATCACTCCACTTACAGTTCAAGACATGTATCAAGAACAAAAAGAAAAGATTGAAGCTTAACGGCAAGATATTTTTTTTTAAATTGAATTTTCAATTTTTAAAATTTCAAACTTTTTTATCGATGTGGGTAAAACTTAATTTCAATATAATTAAACTAATATATATTATAGGACACAGTTTTATAATCTTATGTGATCATTAATGCAGGACAAATATGTAATAATAATTATTTTTCAATGTTATTCCTCTTTAAAATTTGGATGCACTAAACTATATTTCCCAGATAAATTTTATTGTGATCATTAATTTTAGTGAAAGGTAAAATTAAAAATTCAAATATTTTTTTTAAAAGTGTTATGGCTTTATAATTAGGATTGGGAGTGTTTTTTTTTTAAATAAATAGTTTTATTATCCACGACGAACCTGGAGATCCATCGCGGCAGACTTGCAGAATTACTCATTTACTTACTGATCGGTAACAGCCTTTTAACCTTTTTGGTTGCTAAAGTATCTCCCTTGTACGGTCGGAAATAACCTATATTTGTACTGTATCAAATCCAAGATGAGTGAATCTAGCGGCATCGTTTCGCTTCCGCTGAAGCAGACGGCGAAGTCAGCGAAGCTCGTTGGGGGTTTATCAATGAAGACGATCCACGTGCCATGTCCCTTTCTCACTGATCGGTAATAAATCAGATGGGGTCCTGCTTCTTGATCCTTGTATTTAATTTTCATATTTTCCTTCCTTCGTCGCCCTGGCGTGTTCCCATGTAACTCTGACGCTTCAAGCTTGTTTTCAACTTAGCGCCACCTAATTCCAAAGTACACCGTTACTTTCCTATTTCTCCAGAACGATTATTCTTAACTATTTTAATTAATACCCTGTGTCTTCCCTTGTCTAATTTGGGATCTTTCATGTTGTCTGCAATACGTTTTCCTTCGTGCTTAACAAGAAAAGTTTTAATCCCACATTCCCCTCCCCTCTGGGAACTCTAGCTGTCTCCTCGTGGTGGTGACAGATGACTGATTTTAGATCGGAATTTTTGGTGGGTATTTCGCATCTCTGACTCTGGGTTCTATAATCTGTCCACACCAATTAAGAAGACACCTACCGAAGCATTCATGTTAGTGGGTTCCAATCAATTACATGTCAGCTTCACGTGGGTTCCATGATATCTCAAGCTTTGCTCCTTAATTATCTGCTTCCATGGGAAATTATACGCACTAACCTGGAACCATTTGTCTGGTTTTGGTTTTAGCCAGTCAATTTTATCGGAAAGTTCATCCTGGTTTCCTAACTTCTGCTAGTGATTCTTATTCAAGGCTTAAAGTTTATGGTAATTCTGTTTCTTGTCTCGAGGTGTTCTGTTAATTTTGTTGGTGTCCGCGAGCATGGTTTTGGATTTAAATTTTGCCCAGATCAATGGGGAGGAGCTGTAGTTTAGACTACAGAGCTTCATGGGAAGTGTTAATGTGAACATCGATTAGCTTTCTTGTTTTTCATGGTTCACTCGATGCTTCATTAACCTATATAGCCAAGAACTACTATTACTTGTCAATGAAGCGAATCCTTTAACGGCCAATCAGTAGCTGAAAAATGCTATGCTTGCAATGCCTTGTGCCTTGAGCCCTTAACAATTTCTGGTCACGATTCTTAAATTGTGCTTGCTATTCTTATCATAGGCATGGAATTTCTTATGGCTGTAGGCTTAGTCGGTGATTCAAAAACCAAGTGCTCTGGCCTCAGTTTCATTCATGACTTTTGAGACAAGGCTCTTTCAACTTTTCTTTTTCATGTAAAAATGGAAAAGAAACGAAAGATTGTGGAGTATAGGGAGAGGCTTGACAAGACACTTTCCTCACCTGATCTGACAAACGAGGAGGCACTAAAAGCCCTTGTCGAAAGGCAACTACATTCTTTAGGACAAGAAATAGAAGGTTACTATATTCTCTTATTTCCCTTCAAATCATTCAGGCTGCACGGGTAATAAGGGAAGTGAATTGCAAATATCATATCAGTTTATTAAATTCGTCTTCAATCATATTTGGTTTTTGCAGGGTATGAGCACCAGGAGAAAGCAGTGGAAACCAGGGCTGCTGAAGTGTCCAAGTTTCTTGATATGTTGAGGAGTGTTTCTGCAGATGGTAGTGGCAGGTCTAAAACATTACAAACGGATTGGAAAGTACGTTATCTAGTCTGTGCAGTTCTCTTCAAGTCGCTTTTGCTTGATTAAACCCCTTGCCACTTGCCAAATAACGTTCCGTTTCTCTAGTTCCTGGAGCTTCTTCTTCTGAGGGACCTGACCTCATTGGTTTTGTGGTTTTGGTCCAGAAGTACCCCATTGCTGAGAATTCAATGAATTAATGCTATTTCTATGAAGTTTATTTTATGAATTCTGATTATGCTTTGGATGGTAGATTCATGAATTTGCCAATAAAATCCTTGACACTTATTGCCATTCTTATTCCTTCAGTTGAAACAAGATAATGAAGAGTTTCGTGTTATGTATCGTGAAGGACCAGAGGGAACTCCTTTTCATACATTGCTAGCTGAAGGCTACGTTGATGGGCCTGTAGATGTTTGTGAGTCAAACTGGTGCAACCAACTTTTAGCATCAACCGTTTTGACAGCAGCTACTTTGAATGCAGCGTATTAAATTCAATGAGTTCTATTCCTTATTGCAGGTTTATGTATGTCATGGGAGACGCCCCTGTACAAGAAATGGTGGGTATCATGCTTTGTCATATTTATGTCTTTGATGAATGTTTGTACAAGGGTGGAAGTTATTTCTTTTTATACCTTTTGGAAGATCATCGAGTTATGGAAAGATTCTAGTTTCAAGATATCTTTATTTCATTCTTTTGATTTTTTATATTATGGTGATAAATGGATTCTCTCAATTTTGGAGAGATAGATGTAGAGTGCATAGGATACTATGTCTATTTGGGAAAGTTTAAATATGAGAAGTTATTAAAAATGATGGGGATGTTGCACAAGATAAAAGCTAAGTGGTTTAAATAGGGAAAGGTTAAAGGAGTTATTTATGATTAAAAAGCACCTAATAAACTTAAAGAAAAATTTTATTAAATTGCTATAAGACTATCTATATTATATGATAGTGAATGTTGAACTTTAAAGGGACAACAAGAGCATAAAGTTGGAGTAGTCGAGATGAGAATGTTGAGATGGATGTGTGAGCATATACGAAAAGATAAAATCTAAAATGAGTATATACGAGAAAAGGTGGGCGTGGCATCTATTAAGGGGGAAATAGTAGAAAATTATTTGAGATGGTTTGAACATGTATAGAAGAGGCCGTGGGAAACACCATGAGAAGAGTGAAACAGATAATTTTATGCCCTGTAAAAATGATAGAGGAAGATCAACGAGAATACTTATGGAAATTGTTGAATAAGACCTCTTGATTAACGATATTCCTTAGAGCTTGGTTGATGATACAACATAGTAGTGCCCCGCAATCCATGTAACCGACTCATCTAGTGGGATAAGGCTTCTACTGCTGCTGTTGTAGACGTAGACTGCATAGGGCCCAATCAAGTGGCAGGTTTCATATGAACGCCCATGACTCTCCAAAGTCAATATTGGAGAGAATTTATTTCTGTTATAATGTGATCCCAGAAGTTGTTATAGAATTGAGAGAATTCTAAGGAATGATTGTATATCTGTTTTCACCAAAAAGAAATGACTCTACTGTTGAATATCAATTGCCCTTTACTAATATGAAAATCTTCTTGATTCAACTTGGGTGTATTTTCAAACGAAGAGGTTGAAGTTTTCTACTGTTGCTTCTATGGTTGCCTTTCCTCTCATTCTTGTAAAATTTGATTATTTATATTATGACTTATGATGGGAAATGGATCATTTCAAATCTGAAGAGAGAGAGAGAGAGAGAGAGAGAGAGAGAGAGACATAAAGTGTGGGCCATTCCTTTGGTGGTTCCTCTTTAACCGTGGGGCTTTCTCCTAGTTGATATGATCGAGTTTGGAGAGGAATTTAGCAAATCCATTTCTGTTATGGTGTGATGCTATGTTGCTGTATAGTTTCTAAATGATTTGAATTTGCGCGGTTGCTTTTACCAAAAAAAATAAAGGGAAAGATTCTGTAGTTGGATATCGAGTACTTTTTACCTATATGAATGTCTCATTGATCTTTTTAAGCTGGGTGCATTTTTAACCAAAGAGGTTGAAGTTTTTTAATTTCACTTCTGCAATGTTGTCAACTTTTGTTGGACCAGGGATGAAAGCAGTAACTAAAAAGCCATCATCCTTGTCACATTTTTCATTTCTCAGGTGGCCTCAGTTTACTGTTCCCACTTTCAAAATCCTGGTGAGTGACTGTTTGCAGAGGGCCCGGATTGGGGAACAATTATCTCTAGTAAGGTTGGTTTCCTATCATCACTGATTTTTCTTTCTTTTCTTTTGTTTTCTTTTTGTTTTTTGTTTTTTAAAGAATTCACCTGCCCTCTGTTATACTATAGATCTTTACTTTCTAATGCTTATTTTACTTGAAATTTTGGAAGAAAGGGTGAAGCTTTCATGGCCACTTTCCACAAGGGAGGCTGTCATGCACTATTATCTGTTTGAGTACTTCCAGGATGACTTAATTGTTGTTATTATAAATACGGTAGTTGCCTGGACATTCCTTCTTCATTTTCTTTTTTTAAGTTAATTATAATCAAGATCTAAGCTTCTATAACCACGATGAATTTGGTTTCAGATTCCTGATTCAAAGAGCTTTGATGGGCTCCTTTATGGCTTCAACAATGAAGCAATTCCTGAAGCGACGGATGTGGTTAGAATTGATGTTGTGGGAGGCTTTGCTTTGCAAAAGGTGACATCAGAAAGAAGTTATTTTCGGTGAGTTTTTTGTGTAATTTGGATATGGAAAGGGCAACACAGGCAACAGAGTCACTTGACACAGTAAATTGTCAATTCATAGTAGATCGTACAGGATCTGCTTGATTTAAAAAAGAGTTTGTGTGTGTGTGTGTGTGTCAAGATTCAATATACAAGGTTTTATTTCTTTATCAATAACCCTAGAGAACTGAGTGCTTTTATAGTAACTTGGCAAATGAATATACCTAAAGTTAAAAGACTTTGGATTGTGGCTGAGATATGACGAGTGTCATATTGTTTTCAACAATAAGGGTCCTAAATCATTTTTTTAGTTTGTCTTGATTTTAAAATTTGTTGTTAGTTGTCCATCATTGGTAGTATGGGTTGCTTATATTAAAGTTATATATGTATAGGGGGCAAAAACTAGTATAAGAACGTCTAGTGGTCAGACAAAGGACTTTCCTATAAAGATTGGACTACATTAGGGATCATTTTTGAGTCCTTATCTATTTAACTTGGTATTAAATGTTTTGGTGGAACATATTCAAGAGGAAATTCTCAAATGTATGCTCTTCGCGGATGATATAATTTTTATAGCAGAGACAAGGAAAGAGATTAATTATAAACTTGAGTTATGGAGGAGGACATTGGAGTCGAAAAGTTTTCGTCTGAGTAGGAGTAAGACGGAATATTTATTTTGTAAATTTGGTAAGAGACTAGTCAACAGTAATTTGGAAGTGAAATTGGGAGATCAAATTATACCTCAAGTGGAAAAGTTTAGATGTTTGGGAGCCATCATTCAAAATAATGGCAAAATCAGTGGAAATATTTCACATAAGATTCAAGCTGGGTGGTTTAATTGGAGAAAAGCTAAAGGAGTTATTTGCGACCGTAAGGTGACTAATAAACTTAAAGAAAAATTTTATCGTACTGCTATCAGACCGGCTATGTTATATAGTAGTGAATGATGGGCTCTAACGGGACAGCAAGAGCATAAAGTTGGAATAGCAGAGATGAGAGTATTACGATGGATGTGTGGACATACACATAAAGATAAAATTCGAAATGAGCACGTACGTGAAAAAGTGAGGGTAGCACCTATTGAGGAAAAAATGGTAGAAAATCGTTTGAAATGGTTTGGGCATATACAAAGAAGACCGTGAGAGGCACCAGTGAGAAGAGTGGAACATATAACTTTGAGCCCTGTTAAGAGAGTAGAGGAAGACCTAAGAGAATACTTTTGGAAGTTGTTGAACATGATTTCTTAATTAATAATATTTCTAAAAGCTTGGTAAATGATAGAGCACAATGACATCTTGCAATCCATGTAACCAACCCCACCTAGTGGGATAAAGGCTTGTTGTTGTTGTCCATCATTGGTAGTAATAAAATTTCATCTATTTGTAGATTTTGAGTATGCTGGGTTTGAGGGTCAATTGGGGAATTTCAACTGTTCTCACTCTGATCATTTATTATGGTTTTTTGTTTGATATGGCTACCTGGTTTGACTGGCTTTTCTGATTGACTTCACTGGTTTTCAATGGTAGTGTTTCTTTTGTTACCTTTATATGGTTATAAAACTGGCTTTATCTGTAATGGCGTTAGACTAGGTATTTGGCGTGACTATCTAACTTCACGTGGGGAAAAGTGAAAAGCAGTGGCACAGAAAAGAATTTGAATCAGCAAAGCTGATTCAGAGTCCCTATCAAATTTTGTAGGACGATAGCAAACATGGATATAAAGTTGGATATTGTACCTCCATCACTTATCAACTTCATCTCAAGACAGCTCATTGGCAGTGGTTTCAGACTCTATCAGAAGGTTGGGGATTCTTTTTGTATTTATGTCCTTTATGTGGCATTAAATGAAGATTTACTTACTTATTTATGTTACTTCCTTTCACACAACAATGAGCTGACTCATTCTTTGATCCAGCTATGAAACCTATTTATGAATCCCGTGAGTTCCTTTGTTATATTAAGTTAAATTGTTGGATTCGTCATGCTGATTGGAGCTCACAGCCTTTAAAATATAGGATTTTAAATTCAATGGTTAGTCTGAATGTTGGGTTAGTGATTTGTCATTTTCAGCTTGCTCGTGGATATGAATCATCCTACCATTGCTATTTTGTTTATTGTTTTCCTTTTTAATCATCTTGGCACATTATCCTACCCATGATTTGGCTACAGTCAGTGGCTTCAATGATGGACCATGATGAAGCATTTATTAAAGCCTTGGAGGAGCCATTGTATTCGAGACTTCGTGAAGCGCTATACGTTATTGACGGGTCGAGGAAGGCTGTGGATGCTGGAGAGCTTAAGCAAGGTGTAAACATTCTCCCAGCTGAAGATGTTACTGAGAGCAAGCAAGATGAGACAAAAGATGTGCCTTGGGAGGAGGATAAGGGCAACTATCAGGCAGATGACTCCACATCAGTGAATGAAGTAGCACTAGATAACGGCAATGCCTATGGTGAGATTGTGGAGGCAGATGGGGAAGAAACTGAGCACACTGAAGAGGATGACGGGAAAGTAAAATATTTTCCAATTAAGGAAGATAATATGAGTCAGTTAAAGGGCAAAAGGAATGTACATATCAGAGCAGAGGTAGAGCAGGCTCTCGAAACATTGGAGAAGGCCATTTCAGTTGTTAGAGAGTATGGATTTCATTCCAACCAGCCCTCTCCTAGCTTCAACTTCACCTGTGAAAAGGATGACAAAGTTTATATATATTCCCGAGAACTTGGTCAGTTTTGTTCCAAAAAGGAGGTTAGTACTGTCAAAGTCCTAGACAAAGAGATACTGGAGGAAAATTCTCAAGAGGCACTTCGGAATAATCCTGACATTCACAGTTTAAGGTGATTATTACTGAATTGTGTTCGTGTGGGCCAAATAGCCAGAATGTTATTAATGATAAATAACATTTAATTTACAATCTGATTCTGTTTATTCCATTGCAGGCGTACTGGTACAAATTCTAATTTAAAGGAAGTAAACTACAACAAAGTAGTACCAGCTTCTCCAGAGCCAGAGCAGAATGTTTCATTCCCTATATGTTATTCGGAAAATGGGGCAACAGAGATCCCAACTTTGAACCAAAACACACTGGACAGTGGCAAGCAATCAGACGCTGTTACAATCCAAGATACGTCTTCAGATCAACCAAAGAAGTCGAGTAGGCTAAAAAAGCATCAATACTGTTGTTTTCTGCCTTCATCGAGTGGAAAACTTCGATGGCTAAGAGCAGAAGATAAGAAAATAGGGTAATTACTGGCTTATTGTCAACCTGCTATTCAAGAATCTAGTTGATGCCGGTATTGTAACATCATGGTGGTTATATATGCCACCCAGGTTCTTCCCTTTGTTTTCCTTGAATAATATTTTCCGCTGGAAATAGTATCTATGTAACATTAGGCTATTCTTGTTATCCACAGAGGCAATAGACTATTCTTTTGCTGATCAACTATATCTGTAATGCATACATGGATGCCGCTGATAAGAAGAAATAAAAAAAATGTCTCGCACTCGAGTAAAAAAGCATAAATTTTGATATGCAATATTGCTTTCCCTCCCTCCTTTTCCTGTGATCCTGTCATTAATTTTCTGAAAATAGGTATTAAGAATCTCGTCCTAACTTTTTCCTTGGTTCCTCTGTTAGTAGTTGTAGATTTTTATGCCAGGCGCAGGCTTCTCGTGAATCAGTAAACTTTACTTGAAATGCGTTAGTTGTAGTTTTTAACCCTTCCGTCAAACTGATTGTTATGCTGTACTTAAATGATACACTGAAAAGGAGAGTTGAAGGTTCGAGTAAGTAGCAAATATGAGGGATAGAAGATAGAGTGCCATTCTTAACTATTCGATTCTAATTGAAATGACGAGGGATTTTTAGCAAATCTGGTTCTGCCGTCTTACAAGTCACATACCACATGGAGCATATCTTGTTCAGGACCATTTTTCTCGGCCCGAATTGTCTCGGCGGGTTTACCCAATTGTATCTTTGAAAGAATTTGGACTGAAGATACATTTAAAAGTGCTAAAGTCGTTCACAATTGTTTAAATGGATCGACTTACGTTCGAGAGTCTTGTAGAAGTCCGTATATTCTTCTAAAAGAATTGATTGATACTATTATTGTATTCCCACCACCCATCACCTGTAGGCTAATGAATAAGGCATCTGCCTTCTAATCAGATTTAAAAGCTTTTTTCTTTTTTTTCTATTTTTTTGGTAATATAATCTTTACAAAAATTGGCCAAAATATTTTTTCCGCCGTTAAACTTTTGTAGCAACATTTCTTTACCCACCTTTTTTAAGGGTTATATTTCTTTGGCAAAAAAAAAGGGGGGGGGGGCTACATTTCAGTTGATTGAGAATTCTGGAACGTGCCGAACAAACGAATCGGCTATGGAATTAACCCTGGGTTTGGGTAAAAAGTTTACAGAAAATACGACGAAAAACTTCCAAATCCCCACATTTTTCTGTTTATTTATTTCTCCATCTAAAACAAACAGTAAAGATCGTAGCGCCACGTGGATTGGGCTTCTGTTTGCTTTCTTGGAGGGTAAGTTGGGGGGAGGGCTCTACCTATAGAGTTGAGAATTCGGGCGGGTCGAGTCTATTCGAGTTCGGCTCGAATAAGCCCGGTCCGAATAGGCACAAATTCGAACAGGCCCGTTTTTTTAAAAAGCTCGAATGATTAAGCCCGACCCGAATTTCTTCAGGCTTCGGGCGGCCCGAATACCCGAATTTTATTTTTAAAATTATTTTTAATTAATTTTTTTACTTTAAAATTAATTATTTTATTTTATAAAAAAATATAAAATATATATTTTTAATACTTAAATGATGTTTAGGACTCAAATATATGATATTTTAGTATAAAATAACCTAAAAATTAAAGAATTAATTAATATTTATTATATATTATATATTTTTAAAAATAAAAAAAATTATTCGGGTATTCAGGCCAAGCCCGATTCCGAATCGGGTTTGGCCCGAATTTTTTCGGGCCTATTCGGGCAAAACATCTCTTTTTTAAAGCCCGACTATAAAATTTTTCGAGCTTATTCGGGCTAACCCATCGAACTCGGCCCGAATTACCGTCTCTATCTATCTATCTATGTATATATAAACAGAGAAAACCACCAAGGAAACGTTCTAAACCGAGGGCTTGGAGCCAAACTGTAAGTTGTGGTTAAAATCTGCGGATACTGTATTTTGCGATTGCTTGAAGGATTCGAGAATGGGATGGGTGTGGAGGGACGACGATGACGACCAACAAATATCTTCTCGTGGCATTAGCGAATTTGGGAGATCTGACCATTCCGAGGAACGTTGTTCCACCAGAAAGGTCGTGAAATCCCAGTGCAGAACAGAGGAGGTCGAGCCTGGAAAATTCGTCAGGAAGTGCGAGAAAACAGAAGAGGTCCTCAGGGATTGTATTGGAAAGTAAGTATTCTATTTCTTCCTCCTTAGGGTCTCTATTTCAGTTTTTTTGTTTTTTTAATTTGAGTCTGTTCCGATGAGGAAATTGGGTGAATCGGTGTTTCTTCCCATGTTGCTCTATTTAAAATTTTTCACAGACGATTATAGCAACGTTTACATTGCGATATCGTATTTGTTTTCATTTCTGCGCTTCTTTTTCTTCTAAGACATGAAATAAAGTAAAAGTTGATGAAATTTTATTCATGGTATTGACTCCTCAACAATTCAGAATCTGAACTAGAAGCAGCAATGCTGTATTTTGTCTTGCCTTTGCCCTTGGTTGGGGGTGGGGGCGCAAAAAAAATAAAAAAAAAATAAAAAAAAATAAGAATAATGTGCGGTGGAGCGTCGCATGTTCCTACATGAACTACTAATCATTGTGAAAGAGACGTCAAATGCTGGCTTTTAAGTTACATAATAGATTTGCTATATTACCCGACCTAATTCCCCAAAATGAGAAATATCAGCATGTATACCCATTGAAATTCCACTGCTAGAGTTGTAAGCATGCAATCCGATGGTTTAAGTGGTGCAAATCGCTATCGCGTCTCATATTGGTGGCCAACATATTATTTTCTTGAATATAAATATGAAAATATCTGGTTGATTTGGTACCAAATTGATGCAAACCGCCATGTATTTTGTTCTTAGGTTACGTAGGTGTCGATATTTTTACTGATTTGATCTGTGTTTGAATGGAAATTTAGAATAGCAGAAACTGATTAGTAACTAGGCCGAGTGAAAATGTCTTGACATTTAAATGTAAGATTATAAAACTATGAATTCAAGTGAACAAGAACACCATATGAGAAAGACTTATGTAGAAATGAGGTCTAATGATGCCTCCTCGTAACAAATGGAAGTAGTGAAATGTCGTGTCAAATCTCCTTTCAGGAAATATATGTGAAACTAGCTTTTACTTGCTGTGCTTAGTTATGGGAGGGAAAGCTTCCTGTGCTTAGTTAACATCACATTCATTTTTCTTAGCCAAAAGTTAACATCACATTCTTTTTTCTTGGCCCAAAGTTAACATCACATTCAATATTCATTGATGTCCATAGTCCTCCCACGGAAGTTTCATTGTTACCATTCCATTGCATCCTTTGCTTCTTGTAATTGGCCATGAGATAAAGATGTTTACTGAGTTCCATTTTGAGTTTATCAACAAAACAATTATAAAACCAGCAAACTTGTGATATCTAAGAAAAAATGTAAGTTTCTTTTATCCTTCTTTATGACTTCTTTTTTGGAGGCCATATAATTCTCGGGTTGGGGTTAGTTTTATGTCCAGTTTTTAGATCCATGTTCAATATAATGTGAGACGGTACATTTTGAAGCACAAGAGAAACTGAACACTTCGTTTCTGGAGAAAAGAGAGATTTCAGTAAGTAGAGCATAGACGATTAGTGTTTTAGGTTGTTGGGGATTAAAATGATTGTCTGTCTTTGTTTCATAAAAGAAATTAGCTCTCGTTTTCTTGGTAGTGAAGCAGAAATGAATGGTAAGAAAATGATTAAGCTGTACATTTAAGGAATAAAATGGAAGGAAGTGATTTAGCTGTACAGTAAAGAAATGAATTACAAGAAAGATAGGGGGACTATGGCAGAGCATGTGCCTATGTGGTAGTGAAATGGAAAGCTCTTGAGCAATGATGGGCAAAGCTAAACATCGGTGGTGTGGCTTAGGGAGATCAAGGGATGGCAGTATAAGATGAGAAAAGGCAATGGGTGTGAGAATTTTGTCTTAACAGAGGGATATGTGATGCAGCATTCACAGAAATGTGGGGGCACTGGATGGTAAGATGATGTGCTGAGTGGTGGGACTTAGGAAAATTGAAGTAGAAAGTGATGTTATGAGCATCATTGATGCTATCAGAGACCATAGTAGCAACATATTGATGAATATTGAAGTGTTAAGGAACAGACTGAAGGACGGAGAAGTTTAAATCTTACACGTCTATGGGTAAAGAGATGAATTTGCTCACTAGCTCACCTCACGTAATCTGGGGATGAATCTTCATTTAATCATGTTAAGCTACACCACCCTCAAGGTTGGATATGCTCTTGCGAGGGAACATTGCAGGTGAAAATGTTCTACGCAGATTTTCTTTTGTTAGTAGGTGTGAGTTTATGATTTTACTTGTTTAATCTGGATCTTTGACCCTAACTACATACCCAAAATAATAATAATAATAATAATAATAAAATGTATGATAAACCATTTGCTTGCATGATAATTATTTTTAAAATATTACTCAAGACGTATCTATAAAGAAAAATGACAAAATCAGATGTTTTTAGTGGGTCCTAGATGAGTATTGGTCAAATCGGTCATATTTTGGCATTGTTCGGAGTCAGTTTTCAATGTTGTTAAATTTTAGTTCTCATTGAAGTAGATGCTTGGGCTTATCTAAATTTGAGAGCTTATGTCCGTTATCATGTGGCCTTTAATCTCTTAGCATAACAATAGCTATTAATGGCCTGCATGAGTTTTGCAGGCGATAAATTAGTCCTAAGATGATGTTTGATGGCTGACCAGCCATGCTTTTAGAGCTCATAGCAGCTTTAGCTTAAGTTTGCTTTGATGTTCCCAAGGGTTGGTTCTAGTTTCCTGCATCAGGCTCTGTCCAACATTGGGTAAACAGGAATAACCGTTGAAACATGTGTCTAATTCCTTGCTTCCTTTTGTCTGACCTCTTCTCTCTGGGTATACTGTGACTTGAAAAGTTTTAATTAATCTTGTTCTCACCGTCTACCCCTTACTTCTCTTCTCAGGCCCGTGGAAGTGATACAATCAAATAAGGAGGTCACTGAAGAAGATGTCACTGATGCGATTCAGAGGGGAGGGTCATTCATGTTTGGGTCATCAGGGCTGCAAAGTGACATTGAGGCAATTGAGCGTAACTTCTTTGGAGGTCTCAGTCGCTTTTTTGAAGCAGCTGAAGAAATGAGCAATGGCTTCTTTGACGTGTTTGCAAGGGCTCCACGAATCTTTGATGCGGACTCATCATCCTCCACGAGGAAGGGTATACCTATTGAAGAATTTCCTGTACGGGATGCCTTTCCTAAATCCAAACCCAAAGAGTACGTATCAATAGATGCCAATCTATCTGGATTGGCTAAAGACGTTTGAAGGGAGAAACTCACTGATAGTATATTGTGAAAGCGCAGACTTTACAAAAGAATGCACATTCCAATAACGTGTTTCTTCTGCGTTGATTTTTCACATTTTCAAGTAATATGGGAATTAGGGTTCCGATTTTATGAATGAACAGCTACCGAGTTCCTATCTTTTCCTTTAAATTGCTCATCAAGTACTGCATCATTTTTTAAATTAAAAAAACCGTAAATATTTGGATTGGCCATCACAACTTGCCTCATTTTCCAGACGATTGTGTCTGCGCCTTTCATGGAAATGGAGAAAAGGTTAGGTCAATTTACGTGCTCAAGAAGTCTGAATAAGGTAGTTCATAAATATTAATGTATAGGTGAAGACGTGCAAGATTATAATTATAAAATATAAAAATGGGCTACCGATATACACGTTTGAGTGGTCTTGACTTTCATTAGGAAGTGCTTGTCATGATGGGTGATTCCTCTAATCCCGTTTGCGGCATCGTGTTTCTAGTTCATTTGGTGGGAATTTGCTCCAACAGTAAATAAGTGCATGCAGTCAAGTCTTCCTTCCTCTCTTGTCAGAATTAGGGCGTGTTTGATCTGCAGATTGTTAGAAAATCATTTACTAAGATATCTTTACCAAACTAAAATTTGATAAAAAGTTAATTGTTGTAATATAATTTATATTTGAATATATTTTTAAGAAGTCAATTTGATAATCAGAAAATTAGTTTTTCCCAAACAGGAGCTGAGATTCCTGAATTGCTAATGCAACTTAGTAGGGCACTGCTTACCTTCTTTCTCATAAGATATTGTTTTATCTTATGCCTTGTTTTATATTTAGGATGAAAAGAGAATAACGGCTTTTGTTGCTCCCCATCTTTGTAAATTGTATATGTATGATCATCATAGCGTTGAAAGTTGAGTATATCAAGTAAAAGATATCAAGTTGTTCCTGTGTTATTTGCATTGAATGAGTAGACAATTTGCTGAATAAAAAGGACCAATTTCATTAAAATTACACGTTTACATTAACAAGTATAAACTTCTAGTTGACTGATTAATTAAGAGATTAAAAATGTCATTTTAAATGATCAAATAAACTATATCCTTTTACGAGGTCTAACCGCTGAAAATGGAACAGCTCATTGCTGCCGTAGTATTAGCTCACTAATTATCTGGTTTAATCGGGGAGAAATTTTTATATTGAACACAAGGCCCCAGGCAATTTCACCAACGTTAATTCTATGCTAGGTAGGGAAGGTTCTCATCTTTTTGGTTAATTCTCTGATAAAGTGAAATGTTAATTACCGAAAGATAGAAATGTGCGTCCACAACGTACCAAAAACAGATACAATAGATATGCATATTGAACTTAGCTCCAACGAGAACATAGATAACATAAGCCAGTAAAGCAATGAAAACAGATACAATACAATCTTAAAAGTTAAAACTAAGAAGTAAATAAATATGCATATTGAACAGGTGTAGCCGGCGGCCGGCGGTTTGGCGCATGCCAGTACCGCTGAGCCCTCACATATGACCGACTCAGCAACCTTATAGGAATCAGTTCATTAGAAAGGGAAAAAGAAAATCTGTGCCGTTTACTTAAACTGGGGGATCTACGAGAACCGTACGATTAGCTCGAGGCTTTGGCACGCGTCTTTTGAAACATTCTATGCAACAGTTAAACCGGCCACTCGCTTTCTGTTACTCCTTCTTTCCCTCCTCTTTCCTTTTTTCTTTTCACAATCGAAGATTTCATGCCTTATAATGTGACTTTTCCTCTTCTGACTATCTCTACCTCCCTTTCGCACTGTCTCTTGAACGAGGGTCACTTCTCCCTTATCTGTGAGCTTCTATCATCACAAAGTTTCTCTTTTACGCCGTCAAAATCCCCCCACTTCCGCGAAATCCTCCCATCTCGTCTCATTCCTCTTCTCACATAAACTTCTTTATATGTATTTCCCATTCCATGCTCTTCTTTGCCTACGTCCATGGAAGTTCCTCACCACAGTCGCGGATATTTATTTGCTTCGTTTGCACTTAAAATAGCGTATTGGGTTCTTTAGCATTCTTTCAGCTCTTGTTTGCGAACGCTCAGAACAAAAAAGTGATTCCTGTGAAATGGGAAACAACTGCGTTGGATCAAGAATCTCCAGGGATAAACTATTTCCCACCTTTTCCAGTTCACTCTGGTGGTCACGACCGACTGGGGATATGGTTTCTCCTAGCAGTAAATCATCGTCCAGAAGCGAAGGTCCAAATGTTTCAGAGACTGTTCAAAATAGCCCGCCGGAGATATTGAGAATCGAAAAGGTAGAGATGACACCAATACAGGAGATAAAACCGCCTCAACCTCAAAAACTGGACGAAGAGATTAAATCTTCCAAGCCACCAATGGAGGAATCACGACTGCCCCACTCGGTGACGCTGAGGCGTGCGGAAGAGGATGGACCGATTCCGACGAGTGTACAAAAGGAAGAGATTGTTCAACCAGTGGAACCTGCAAAACCAAAGAAGCCCCATAAGGTGAAGAGGCTCGCATCTGCTGGGCTGCAAGCAGATTCTGTCTTGCAAACAAAAACTGGTCATCTTAAAGAGTTCTATAAATTGGGGCGAAAGCTTGGACATGGGCAGTTTGGAACGAGTTTCCTTTGTGTTGAGAAAGCTACGGGTAAAGAGTATGCCTGCAAGTCCATTGCTAAGCGAAAATTGCTGGCATATGAAGATGTGGAGGATGTGAGGAGGGAGGTTCAGATAATGCATCACTTGTCAGGATGCCCAAATGTGATATCCATAAAAGGGGCTTATGAAGATCCTGTGGCAGTTCATGTTGTGATGGAACTATGTGCAGGGGGTGAGCTGTTTGATAGGATTGTGGAAAGAGGGCATTACACTGAAAGAAAAGCAGCAAAACTTGCCAGGACTATAGTTAGCGTTATAGAAGCTTGTCACTCCCTTGGAGTGATGCATCGTGATCTTAAGCCTGAGAATTTTCTTTTCGTTAGTAAGCATGAAGACTCCCCCCTTAAGGCCATCGATTTTGGATTGTCTACATTTTTCAAACCAGGTTTGATTAGATGCCTTTTTCCCTCTCATTTTGCAGTTAACTTCAATTTAAAACTTCTTACAGTTAGTTGTTCATCATCATTTTCTCCAGTAAAAAGCAAAGATGGATATCTTTTATAATTCTAGACGCCTGACTAATTTTACCCTACTCTTTTCCATAACATTTTCTTGTTGTTCTTAAGCCTCTTTTTCAGAAAAATGGGTAGTTGATAATTAATTTGTATCTTATGTTAGTGAAGATACGTTAGTGTTTATTTTCTTATATAGATAATTCCAATGATGCAGGAGAAACTTTCACAGACGTAGTAGGAAGTCCTTATTATGTTGCACCAGAAGTTCTGCGCAAGTGTTATGGTCCAGAAGCAGACGTGTGGAGTGCTGGTGTGATGATTTATATTCTGCTATGTGGGGTGCCTCCATTTTGGGCTGGTAATTATTTTCTTAAAATGTTTACCTCATGATGATGATCCAAATAGTCTTGCTTGATATGTACTGATCTAGTTTGTCACATTATGTTTTTCTCCTCGGCTCTAAAATTTATGTACATTTTCTATCGAGTGGCTCAGAAACAGAGGAGGATATATTCGATGAAGTTTTGCGTGGGAAGCTTGATTTCTCATCAGATCCTTGGCCTAAAATCTCAGAAAGTGCTAAAGACTTAGTGAGGAAGATGCTTAATAGAGATCCAAGAAAACGGATAACTGCTCATGAAGTTCTTTGTGAGTTTTTCTTCTCTAGCTTTTTCAGATGACTCAAAATAAGAATTGTTATGGGCTATTTCAGCTCACTATTACTGTGATAAATTTTTGCAAGATGGCACAGAATATTCTCTTTAGCAGTGTGTTTCTTGTTAAATCTCTTGCTGTTTAAACTAAAAACCAGAAGAAAGGAAGTCAAACTGATGTTAATGATGAAGCTATTTATTGTTGCAGGTCATCCTTGGATACGAATTAATGGAGAAGCTCTAGACAAACCTCTTGATCCGGCAGTCTTGAGTCGCCTGAAGCAGTTTTCTGCCATGAATAAGCTCAAGAAAATGGCTATAAGAGTATGTTATTTTCATGTCTTCCATCGATGATAACTAATATTATTGTTAAAAAAAAAAAATCTGTCAACTTCTTAATTAAGTGACAAGTCTAAAGCCATATTTTGAATTATCTTTGCAGGTGATTGCAGAGAAGCTCTCTGAAGAAGAAATTGCTGGATTGAAAGAAATTTTTAAGACGATAGACACGGACAACAGTGGTCAAATTACATTGGAAGAACTAAAGAATGGACTGAAAAAGTTCGGTGCTGATCTGAATGAATCAGAATTACAAAATGTAATGCAAGCTGTAAGTATTAGTCCACAGTGATCTTCTCTTCACTTGAGAAGATAATTTTTATTCTTCCGCTTCTGTTTGAGTATCTGATTTCACCACGAAGATGAATGCTGCTTCACATTCATATTTCCAATATGATAATAAACGAGATGGGCATTTAACGATGTTCTAACTCCATCCATGAAACCTGTGTTGGGAATACAGGCAGATGTAAATAACAGTGGAGCAATTGACTACAAAGAATTCATAGCTGCCACATTGCATTTAAATAAAATTGAGAAGGAAGACCACTTAGTTGCAGCTTTCTCATACTTCGATAAAGATGGAAGCGGCTACATCACACCAGATGAACTTCAACTAGCTTGCCAAGAATTTGGCATAGAAGATTTCCACTTAGAAGAAATTATCAGGGAGGCAGATCAAGATAACGTGAGTATATATTTTGCACTAGGTGAATCAAAATTATAAATGTGAGGTGACTTTCACAGATGAGATTTGATGTCAGAGCAATAAAATGAAACTCATGAGTGATGTATTTGTGTTGCAGGACGGGCAAATAGATTACAAGGAATTTGTTGCAATGATGCAGAGAGGCAACACAGAGATGGGGAAAAAGGGTCAAAGAGGTAGCAATAGATTCGAGATTGGATATAGGGAGGTGCTATCAGTCTATTAACCAAACTGGGGGGATAATTTTTTTGTTTGTTGATAGAATACCATCTTATCCGATGTTCATAGCAGGGTGGATTATTTTGTATACTTGTGGATAGGTTGCTTCATGGGCATTGTGATCCAAATATTATATTGTTCCTTATGAAGGAAAATATTTTCACCGCAACCTTTCATCTTTTGACAGTCTCATTCTATAGCTCTCACAATTATGAATCTCTCCACGCGCTGCTATTCTCTGTCATCATGCGGGATGAGAGAGGGGAGAGTGATTTGTTGGGTGATCAAGGAAGGAATACTACAGTTGGTGCCCAGCTTTATTAGTAAATTCTTTATCACGAAAACATCTGCAACGCTTTTTTTTTTTTTTAAATTATCGAATAACAGACAAGTCTGGCATAGTTTGACTTCTTCTGGCCGCATTTTCCAGAAATAATTAACCACACTTTGTGTGGCCAAAGTAACCATGTATTAAAGCAAGATAATTAATGATAACTACATTTTCAAGAAAAGACAGCCTTGGGCAAAAGAAGTAACCATGTATTACAGCAAGATAACTAATGACAACTACATTTTCAAGAAAAGACAGCCTTGACAAAAGAAAGTCTCCGAAAAGTACATTCTAACTTAAATTTTGGGGGGGGGGGGGGGGATTCAATTCGATTATAATATTAACGTCAAACTTTAAATTTAAAATTTTATATCTCTGTGAAAATAGTATCATAAACAAAAAGTGAAATTATTATTGAATTTAGCATCCTGTAAATATGACTAATTACATACTGAACTTGTGAAATAGTATTAACTTTCAAGTATTTCAATTTATATTTTCAACTGCAGAAATCTCTTCGAATGTAAGATCAACGGGCTCTCATTAATCTCATATTTAATTGAATATTTATTAAATACCGTAGCACATAAACGACCGCACACTTTTTTTTTTATATAATATATGATAGAAAACTCTCTGCGTCACAATTTTTTAAATAGTTTATTATATTTATTTATAAGTTATGAACAACATTGTTTGCGAGACAATTAATATTGACCTTTAGTTAAAAGTAACAAGCCGAAAGTCCAGTTCACGTTCCTAACTTGGCTCTTCTTACCCGCCATGCAAGGCATTAGCTGTGATGTCTTATTCAAGAATATGTACTCCTCAACAACTTCCCTCACTCTCACCATAAATATATATTGCTTTCAGTAATTACGTTCTCAACTCACAAGTCAATTTATATAAATATATATATATATATATATAACTATTTTTGCTTCCTTTTCTGTTCAGAAGTCAGTTTCACAATTAATCAACAAATCATTCTCAAACAATAGCGCCTAATAATAATAGGCCACAATAATATGGAAACATTGGAGAGGAGTTTCATGTAAAAATGGGAAGAGAGAATAGAATAGGAGTAGATTATGTATGAATGTAATTCACGCAGACAGTGAAAAAATTTTGCAATCTGGGATGGAGAGAAGTGTCGTATTTTCAAGGTTATTTATGCATACAAAGGGACAGAGGCAGAGACAGAATCAACACCAAAAAGAAAAGTAATAAAAAAATGGCATGTAATTACAGTATGTAAAGCAAAATGACAGAAAATTTTATCCTCTGAGATTTCCACGGAAATCCTGCCATCTTCATCGCTCTCTCCAATTGTAAATTCAAGATGCATCCTTTTGTATTGAACTGATTACTCCTACAACTGCATTACGTAGTTGAAAATAAACACTGTTACTTTAACTAAAATAATGAATGAGGCAAGATGTAAACCATGCAACGAAAAGTTAGTGAGCTTACCATATAACAATTTGTTTACATAAATTTACCCCTTTATTATTTTTTTAAATTTTAAATTTTTTTAAGCGATTTAATTAGCAGACTCGTCCAAAAGCTCCAAGCATGCTACAGGCTACTTCCAGCAACTTCCCTGCACATGAAATTAGGCAAATAAAATTGTAAGTCAACTGATAACGAGGTATTGGACAGCTCCCAACGTATTGAATAAGAAAATAATCACGATAGAAGCAAGTTGATTTTTGTATCTTTCAAAAGTGTGTATCAAATAACTAATCGTAGAAAAACAAAACAAGGCACTCAAGACTTGGAAGTTAAAAAAGAAACATGCCATTTGACCATAAATAAAATACATAAAAGATACGAAACAACAAAAACAAGGGGTGGATGATTTGCCTGACAGACTGTGTCGGCAGCTAAATTGAGGTGGGTGCAGAAATAAAACAAGGGTCACAGCTTAGCAGGCTGAATTATTTTTTACATGCAAACATGTTGAGACAAGGGAACAGAATCATGGAGGAATTTTAATGATCATTCAGAGATTAGAGATTCACGAGACAACACTTTCTTCTCAATCAGATGATTTGCCCTGCACCCCACAAACTACACCACCGTCTTGGGTCTTAACAGCTGTTTTAACTTTTAACTAAGCAGAACTTCTCCATTTATATTATGAAGACCAAACGCCTTAAAATTTAAAACCTACAAGTCTACTGTCGAGAATTCAATATAAATGCAATAAATTCACCATATAACCGGGTCACAAATTACACTTGATAACTAGACTACTAGTCTACAGTCAGGTAGTCCGCCATCACATGTTGTATTCCAGAATTGGCACCTGTACCGCGAAGCTATGCTGCTTCCAGCCTTCCCAGAAACCACTGTGCATACTAAAAGCTTTAACAAATTCAAAACCGAAAGTAAAATACAGCAGCAGCAATAAAAAATGGTACCAGGATCCCATCTTCCTTGCCACGCGGATGGTCAACATAGAAGTTGCCAAATTCTATGACCCAAATAACTTTTCCCATCTAGTTTCTATCGATCAGACTAACCCAGAAGATGCTAGATTTCCATTTTTGCCATTCACATAAACCCCCCCATCTCTTGAACTTTCTCATGTCAATTTGCAGCAGGTACTAAAAACATTCTATTGTTTTCTACCTCGGTCACTTTCCTAAATGCCTCAGCAAAGAACAATAACTGAGGGGACCAAAACCCTAAATTATCAATAAAGTTTCAAAATGGGCTTCCCCATGACCCCGGAGCCAAAAGCAATGAAGAACGTAACATAAATAGTTAAAAGATATTTAACAGCTGGTAGAAAATCTAATAGAGAGATGCATCATATCATACCTCTCCTTGGTTTGTTGGCAACTTTGACGACTGGTACTGTTTTTCGCTCAGTCTTTGGCTCCTCTTCGGCCGGGAAAAGAACTCCATCAATACCCTGTACTGAAATTCTCCCATCTGTATATATATCAGGATCAAACAGGTAAGCAGACCCTTCACCTTGCCCAAACTTCACTGACCCATCAGCCTCCTGAGCCACAACCTTATGTGGCAACCGCAGCGTGTCGTACCGTACTTTCCCGAACCTCCTCACAGCATTGTACATACTCTCCTCCGTCTGATACTCCGGTATGATATGGTAGTAGATTATTTGCTCCGGTGCACCCGGTTCACTCAATTGGTCCGTGGTCAGCTTCGCCATGGCCTCGTCATTGGGAGCCAACACCGTCAGGACATAACCCTCTGAGACTAGCCTTCCCATTTCGGTGGCCAAAGATGTGAGGTTAACCAGAATATCTGCCATTTCGTTGTAGCCACCGTAATGCAACAGTGTATGAATGAAGTCTTTCACCTGACGCATGCCATTGAAGTGACCGTGAGGACCACCGGGTCCGGGTGCCGGTGCCGGAGCGAGGGAAGGACCCGGGGCCATGGCATCGTAAATGGGCAACACAGGAGGAGCCCCAGCGGGCACAGGGGCCGGTTTCTTCAACCGGTGGGTCCGGGGATCCACCTCCGGCGCACCCTCTGGAAGTACCGCCGATATGTCCCGCAAATTCCTGCGGCGATTAAAATCCTCCTGCACCGATCGCGGAACCAAAAGCCGCTCAATGCCGTGAATCACACCGTCCGGACGGACGACGTCGTCGGGGCGAACGATGCCGGCCAGACCAACAATCTTATTATCAGGACCCTTGCTCGCCAAATGCAGGTGGTCGTTGCACAAGGTCTGGTGCGGGACGGCTCCAGAGCTCTCAGCTGGCCAGTCAGTGGAACCAATTCGTTTGGGCACAATGTGATACATGAGAAGGGTCTGTAAAGACCTGAGATTCCCGGGCTCGAGCAGGAATCGCTTAAACTCGGGGTCAAGCTGACGCTCCAGAGCTTCATTTCGGGGGGCGAAGATGGTAATATTGTGAGCGCCCACAGTGTCCTCAAGTTTTTGAAGAAGAAGCGCCTTCTCGACAAGCTCAGCGAGCTCAGTATAATGAGAATCGAGAAGAGCGACGAGAACAGAGTTGGAGTTAATCTGAACGGAGCCGGAAGAAGAAGATAATTTCTGGGCGGAGAGGAGAGGCAGAAGGGAAAGGAAGAGAAAAGCGGCGAGACAGAGGAAGAAGGAGCGGGAGGAGGGAACACCAGGGCAGAGAGGAGGCAGGGTGGCCATGGTGTTGAGGTTAGGGTGAGAGGAGGGCCTGAAGTGAATGGATGAATTATTGAGAGGCGAGTGAAGTGGGGGCGCTTGGTTTGGTGAGAAGGGAGGGAGATTGCTTAATGGCGGAGGAGGGAAAAGAGAAAGAGAAGACTTGGGGAGCAGTTTTTGCAGAGACTTAAAAAGCAATGAAAATGGAAGGCGCAGAGAGACAGACAGGGAGAGTTCGGACAGCCTGTGAGTGGGGACCACACGCTCGCACTCAAAGGTGAATGCCAGTTTTCAATCCCACCTCATTTATTCCTCAATCATTTATTCATTAGTTACTGCCAGTGCTAATCCTTCCCTGTCACAGTGTTAAGTGTTAATGGCTTCCCTTAACCTTCTGTTCACTGCATTTCTTTTTACATTATTTTTGTCTTGATAATAATATGAGAGAAAATCTTGAATTATGAATATTCCAGGCCAAACCACCCTGCCTTTTTGTTTGGTTAAATCCGCTTATTTAGTCTTTAAGTTACCTCTATCTATTATTAAAAATTAGTCGTAGAATAATACTCTATATTGGACTTTTCTTTTTTTTTTTACGTGTGATGATAAATCCATTGGCAAAGGTAAAAGGAGTGGGGGGAGAAATGAAGTGAAACGTGGGAGAATAGCGTCAGGCGAAGTGTCGGTGTTGGGAGAAATGAGAAATGAATAAAAATGGCCTCATTTCTACGCTAAGCTGCAAATCAATGTCTCGGCTCGCTTACGTCCTCCTCCAATCGCCCCTCTCCTGCGTGACGCTCACCTACCCTATGATTTGGTTCCTTCATCCTCCTCTGTTTGGACTTTAATTTAATGAGCCTCCAATAATGTATGCGTACACACTATATGAAATCATGAAATATCAAAACGGCGACGTCTCATCCGTCGGTGGTTCCTTTGTCCTCGTCCTCTCTCACCAGTTACCCCGTACCTGCCCTTTCCCTTGCATCTTTTTGGTTTATTTATTCCCCTTTCTAAACTATCTCACATTTTTATACTTCTTTCTTTATATATTTCCCAGAGCATGACCTCATGTCGAAAGACATTATTTTATGTCCAACCTACTTCGTCTGTGATTTTTCACCTCTTCTACTTTCACAAACAGTAACCCGGAAAAGGTCAGACTTTGAAGGATTTGCTTCACTTACTTTTCACGCACGTTCATTTCCTACTTTTACATTCGCCAGGTTATGAACTTACGTCATTATAGCCTTCGTTCCACAAAAGGAACTCTATCAATTAACGTCCATGCGGCGATTGCAAAACCAATCTAAACTGCTTGTGCTCTTTCACGATCGTCGTCGTGGCATTAATTTCATACTTGGATTGATTAAACCATTCATACAGTATTCGGGGGCCCGATTAATTCCTATTACAATCAAGTCAATATAGATTGACTTTGTGCCAACAGAGGGCGTGCTGGAAATAGCACAAGTGGAGTATATATCACAGCATAAGATAACAAAAGAAAGAGTACAGATTATGGACAAAAGACGCAGCGAATTGGGACGCCCCTCTTCAAGATAAAATCATGTTCAGGGTAGACGCCGATTCCTTAAATACGCAGTAATCATCAATTGCTGGTCGGCACCATTTTCTATAGCATATTTACATTTTATTTTTTAAAAAAAAAAATCAATCATACATAACTTGAAGCACAAGTGTCTTTCAGATACTAAATTCTATTGCAAATTAGAGCATATAATAGCCATGACTATGCCCAAATCATCTGCTCCTCAGCATGTCATGTCTGGAGTATTAGTTAGCCTGCAACATCACAAGGGCTTCAGTTAACAGGGTTTAAACCATGCTTCGTGCTTCATAGATGGAAATGAAAAGCAAATTATTAGAGACTCCTGCTAATACCCCATTAATAGTACTCCCACTAGAGTGCAAACATATCCCGGAGTGAAAAGACAGTGAACAGAAACATCGAATATGCATAACCATAACATTATCATCAAAAGCTAAGAGTACTCCTTAACTCACGGACACCAATGCTGTCTTGGCTGAAACTGGAAGGTGAAGGTCAAGAATCTTACCTTCAAATATGAGATGCTGAGGAAAGATGCAATAGCAGAAACACAACAGATCTCAGTCTGAACGTGGGCCAGCAGAACAAGCAGCTGGAGCGTTGTCACGCAGAGCATTAATCTCACGAGCTTCGGCATTGTTTGGGTTGCTTGTCTCTGCAGCCAAATGATTTGACAAAGAGCTATCCCCTGCCCTATCATTCTGTTCTCTTGTTTCAAGGCGCTCCATCAATCGGGACACACTAGCAATTCCAGCGTTCAACTCTCTCCTAACTTCTGAACCAATATCAGACATGGACGTACTACGAGAGAACAGCTTTTCCCTCCATCCCCTTGCGCCCTTTGAAATAGTCTCTTTGTATCTTTTGATAACAAGTTAATATCAGTTACGTTGATTTGATCAAAAACAAAAGTAGTTCATCCACAATGCGTGTTTTTTTATGTGTAGTACACTATACTATCACGAACAACATCCAAATAGTGGCTTCCAAAGTAATCGTACCTCATAGACACTGAACCAAGTCTGGATCGCAGAGACTCGGAAAATGACTGAAGTTCTGATGGTCCTGCTCTGCCCTGGTCAGGAGGCACAGAATGGACAGCGGAGCTGCTATATGCAAAGACATGCAACATGTATGAAAGTGTGTAACATCGCTAAAGCGCACAACTAGTAGTGTCCATTAGGAAATATGATGTTATAGTTACCGATCATTAAAAAGAATTCCTTGACGATTTGCCTCCGTGACAGTAGATCCAGCAGGTAAAGAACCCTGTGTTTGAAGGTTTGGGATCTGCTGTGATTGTTCATCTCTTTCAGATGTAAGAGGGGTGGACGGATTTATTACAGGAATTGCAGTTGGTTCGGTCCCCCCTCCAGCAGCAGAGACAGCACCAGGTGGAGGAGTTGAGAACACTATGAAGGGAGGACGACCATGAGGATATGATCTAGTCCTATTTCCTTCTCTCCGACCAAGGTGGCGAGCTCTTCCCATGGCTGTAGCAGCAGCTAAATGTTGCATTATCCTCTCTTCAATATCTGCTTCACTTACTCCCATGGATAACTACAGAAGGAGAAAGATCGCAAGAAATACATAATGATAGAATTGTGATGTGCAAAAGATAAGAGAGAATCAAATTAATTCGAATATTCATAAATAACTGACATGCTGCAAGTCAAAACCACCAAGACCCAGATGATGGAAAACAGCTGCATTTCTTGAAGAAGTAACTCTCAAATTCCTTTCCTGAACCACTGCCTCAAATAATTCTTGACTGATAATAATATACATCCAAGTTTGAAAGCCGTCCAAATATATATAAACACACAATAGATCTCCAAACAAAAGTCATAATCAAACCTGGTAGAATCCTTGAAACTAATAGACTGCCAACACATAGGGCACTGGGAGCTCCTCTGACACCTACAAATAATAGCACATCCTCTTCCATTTTTAGAAACATAAACATCTAAATAATTCACAAGCGTCAGCACTCAGCAGCTCAAAAGAGCCAGCTTTTAGAATTGAAAAATTGAAAAATTAATGTGCATGAAAATTGTAAATTACACAGAAATTTAACAGCAAGCTAGTAAGGGAGAAACAAAAATTTATTCATACAAAGTCAACCTATTTGGAAAGTTGTGCTTATTTCTATAGTTTCTTTTCTTTTCATAGGTTACAGCAATTTGTAGGTGGTATTCAGTTTATGGATAAATGACATGTAAGTTACAAAAAAGTGGCAACGGATTCATAATCACCATGTAGACTAGATTAAGAAGCCAGTGATACTATTAGATGAACTCGCTATGGTTCACGTGCATCTTAAAATATTAGTGACCAGTTACTTATAAATGGGTAATGGCATGCTGATAGTCTGGTGGTGATAAATTTAGGAGGTTACACCGTTATAGTAAATTTCTACCGGTTTGCTTGGTAAGATGAGACTCAGACATTTCGCACCAAAGAAAACTATAATTAGAAATTAAATAGTTGGCAAAATTATTGAATGGGATGTTCAAGGAAGTCAAATTTGGCTCCGTTTTGATAGCAAACCATTATACCAACCTTTTCACCCTTCCATGTCTAAACAATATGTTGATATGAAATATAAAATGTATACAACGTTGAACTACTCACAAGTCATAAATAATGTGTTATGTTACATCATTGTCATTGATACCCAGCACAAACAATAGGAATCATAAACCATCATTACATAAAATCCGAGACACACGCACACATATAAAAAGATGTACCATTCAAGAATGCACTGCAGGTGAAAGTCATGCTTGCAAGTAGTAACCTGAAAAACAAGAGAGCATAGAAGTAAACAAATGTTTTTGAAATAAAATCATACTTGCCACGTAACTGAATTTGTACAACGACAGTACACAACTAAAAATTACCGTTGAAGGATTGCTTTCACTAAAATCCTCAAGGCATATGCTGCAAGAGTCATCACATGCTTCTTGAATGCCCCCTTCCACGAATGCTGCAGCTGATGTCATACGACTTCCATTGTTCTTGTCTTCCATGTCCGGAACCTTCAATACATCAGCCCAGATTTCAGAGTCAGAAAATGTAATCCCTTGTTGCCCTTTGAATACATCATATTGACAACATAAACAAAAGGGAATGTATTCTAAGTCATTGTCCAAATTGGACAGAAGACTCCCAATTAGCTTATAGTCCCCCAGCATATTACTCCTTCAGAATCACTGAACCAAAATCCCCAACACAGATAATATCATCTTTTGCAAAGTAATTGGCGCAACTTACGTCAAAAGAGAGCCCACTAATACCGTTATAAACCCAATAAATGAATGTAGCATCCACCAGTAATGCATGCACTCTGATAAGATCGAAAATTCTTCATTATAGGTTTCCACAAGTTGAGTTAATAGCGTTAAAATTTGTATCGTTTCGCTAATGTAAATTCGTAATACAAACAAATGCTAGCCGCCTTGAAAATACTAGTACAAGCCACGATCCTCATATCAAAACTACGCCTCAAACAAGCTGTCATCCTCTAAAGTTATCCAGAAAAAGTTAGCTGTTATGAGGAATATCATCACAAGATTCAAGCTCAGAGGCAAAAAAAAAAAAAAAAACTTTTGGAGACAGAGAATTTATTGGAATCAACCCCGGTGAGAAACAAAGACCCTTTGGGATTGAATCCAAACACGGAGACAAAAAGAGAGGGGAGCCTTGATAGCTCTAAGGAGTTGGAATGCAAACAAAAATAATTAATGGGTTTACCTCCATTGATAATTGGCAAGCTCCAGAAAATAGATCAGGAAACGAAGGGAGCACACATCAAGAGGAGATCGAGCCTTGAATTCGCAGCCCAGAGAATGTAAGAGATAGAAAGCAAATGAAACGAAAACCCAAGAAATGAAAGGGAGAAATTATGACAAAAATGGAAAAAGAAGACGATAATGTAGAACACGAAAGAGAATGGGTCTTGTACCTTCAATCATGGGTTTATTTTCTAATTTTTTCTGTGAGCGTTGGAAAATGAAACAAACCCCTTCTTCGCCCCCACAGGCACAGCATCAAATGGGTACATCAAATGAAACAAACTCACCTGTTTGGCTTTCTTCGCCTTCAAATCACCCAATGCCTCCCTCCCCGCATATATTCTTTTCTTTTAAAAAAAACAATATTTTCTTCTTTTCCACCTCCTTAAACCTTTGATAAAAATTAGATGGTCCTACGCTCTCAATTATATCAAGATAAGATTCCGTTCTCCTGACAAATTAATTAATTAAGGTTCAAAAAATGGCAGGGTTTGTGAATTGCTCTGTTGTACTCCCGTCCTTACTATCAAATACTTTCAATTATTTTAAGTATTTAAAAAAAAATTTATATCAAAAAAATGTGAGATATATTTTTATTTTTACCCTTAACTTTAATAATACAACTATATTAATTATTATCAAATATAAAATTAAAAAAAGTGATCTAATTATCACAAAATATTTATATTTTAAACTAAAAATTACTTTTTAGAAGGTATTTTTATTGATTAATTAATTTTTTTGGTGCTTTTTTGGACCATAACTTTCTTTGTTGCTTAATTTTTGAGCCATGATTTTAACTGAAATTTTAAATAAACCTTTCAACTTAAAAGCATTAGATTTTTCGAATTTGGCCCCAGGTTAAGAGTCAAGTAGAGCATTGCCTCCACAAGAAGCAATTAATTAATGAAATAATATAAGGCACAAGCTGGAATGGAGGAAGGTGAGCTAACCTGCTCTGCGTTTTTTTTTTTTTTTTTCTATGTCAGGTAGCATACTATTCAGGCTAAAACATGATTTTTGTTCTAAACCCAACTATTTAGATTAAAAAGAGTAATTTTGACTCATGTCTATCAAAATCTTTTAAAATGAAGGAAGTTATAAAAAGACTTGGTGAAACACATATCACTTTAATGAGAAAATAAAGGTGAAAAAATATGGAAAGAGTTGTAATTAGTGGCCTTAAGAAAGTTAAGCATGAACTGTGAAAAAAGTCATCACTTGGCGCCTATGAAAAGAAGAAGAAGAAGAAAGCAGCCACAGACACACAAGACTCTTGAACTCTGGAGCACTATACATAAAACTCGAGCTTTGATTTTCTATTATTACTTATTTCACCATGAGCGACTCATTTTATCTTTTAGTAGAATCAACACAATGCTCTTAACATACCATGCATTTAGCATGGAACATTAAAGTTCTCCAACAACCAACAAAGCACAGCAAAACAACAATAATAGTGCCATTAGTAATTTTTTTTTAATTTTTTATCTTTTATTTCTTGCAATTTTTTTTATCATTATCAATATTATAGCTGCTCTCATCATGCAAGTTTCATTTTATTCCTCAATTCCTTTTATTTTTAAGAGCACCTGTATTTGAAAAAATTATAGTAAAGGATCTTGGGAATTCATCATTTAATTTCAGAAGGGAGGAACATTGCATCTCTTGAGGACATGTTCCTTTAACATGCATATACAAAACAATAACTGAAATGCTTGCAGCACAAGAATTATATATTTTTTAAGAAGACCTACATATAAATTTTTTTTATAAAAAACTAATTGTTTATAAGATTCATCTATTTGTAAATATTGAAATTTATCATCTAACTATAAAAATTTGATTTGTGAATAAATTGAAAAAATAATTAATTTTTCATATAAAATTCTCGCTACTTTATGGGCAATAACAACAAAATAAATAAATTCTTGCTGTACCAGGCCCCCCCAAAAAAAAAAACTCGCCGTACAGTTTACTTTGTTGAGATTTAAAACTTGTTTTTAGAGATTTTCGAAATTCTGGTTTTACATAATATAGCTCATCCTTCCTCCTCTTTTTTTCTCAACATGATAATAATTGGTTTATATTGATTGAAGGAGACATCTTAACCTAGAAAAAAAATCAACTTGCTGTGTGTTTGGATAAGGAAAAAAATCAATTTTTTTCTCTAATTTACTCAAACAATCAAAGAAGGATAAAAATCAATTTTGACACAGGACGTGCGTTTTCCTATAAGCTCTTCCATCCGTTTTTTGTCAAAAATTTGTCAAAAACATTGAAAAAAATTATAAAAACAGGCCCAAAAAAATTACAAAAAAAGTACCTAATTTAATAAAAATAAAATTAAACTCTCTTCTTTTCTCTTTTTTTTTCTCAATAAAATTTAAAGTTTATATTTTCAAAAAATTAATATTTGATATTTAAAAATTAAATTATATAGTAATTTATATAGCTAAAAATTAATTTTGATTAAATTATCCAAACATCTTTAATTCTGTTAAAATCAATTCTAAAAAACAACAGATTGCGTTATAATATAATTAATTATGATTAAAATCTATCATTTAATTAATTATTTTTATAATCTATTATACTTAACTGAAATCTAAACGAGCACTTGATATCTTAGCTATGTGTTTGGATTAGTCAAATAATCGATTTTTTGGGTTAAAAAAATTGATTTTGCAAAAAATTACCCAAACAGTCAAATTTGTTCATAATCAAGTATTTGACCCAAAATTGATTTTTGGCTTAAGTTGTGGGAGCATCTTTTGAATTTCAATTTTACTGTCACGTGTATTTATTATTTGTATGAGATACTCACCTATCAAATATACCCTTAAACATTATTATTATTCAGTAATGCCACGTTCTTTGGTTTTCTTTTCGATGTGAAAATAAAATTTTTCTTTCCGTCAAATATATGCTCTCACGTCTTACATAAACATGCCAAAATTGCCAAATTTTATTATTTATTTAGTGGTAGGTGTTGCTTGATTAAGGTATTTTTTATACAAAGATAATCATTAACTATAGGAGAAAACATAGATGTGTTATTAGAGATTAATTTATATATTATCATCATCATTAATTATTATATAATTAATGTCTGGTATATAAAAACTAAATCTTTCTCTTTTATTAAATTTATTTGAATTAAGATACATTGAGTTATTTATTTATATAAAATAAAATGTTAATGTTAATGTAATTTAAATTTTGATAATTAATAGATATATAATTTAAATAATATATTTTACTTCTTAAATAAAATTTAACAAATTTAATAATATTAAATATAAATTTATCAATAATTTAATTTTAAAAAAATAATATCATCTATGGTAATTTATATAATTAAAATTAATTCTAATTAAATTATTTAAATATCTTTAATTTTATTAAAATTAATTTAAAAAAGTATTCAAATAATTTACATTATAACATCATTAATTATAATTAAAATTAATTATATTAATAAATTATTTTTATAGTTAATTATATTCAATTAAAATTCAAACGAGTTTTAAGTTGGTGAACAAATGTTTTTACAAGAAACGACAAAAAAAGAAGTTTTTTCGCCCCACAACTTGGAATGAAAGGTGAATCGTTCATTGATTTGACCTTTTCTGTCTGTATAAGCGACTGAGCAAGTGGTGTGATGATGTTAGATAACAGAAATTAAAGAGACATTGGGGCCGTATGAATTTCAATTGAAAAAAAAAAATTGATTACAAGAAAAATTAATTACCAGAATATGATGATGTTTATATAAATTTTTAAAAATTAATTTTTTTATAATTGGGGTTTGAATTTGTAAATAAAACAAAATTTAACTTCTCCCAAATAAAAAATTTGAAAAACAAAATGGGATTTTAAAAAATTGAAGTGTTTGAATAAAAATTTGTAACAGCATTGGTTTGGAGACAAAATTGATTTTCAAAGTGTATGAAACAGGCCCATTGTCATGCAGACTTGCACAATGCGTAATGTTTTTTGCCCCAGAAAAAGGCCAGATATTTGAAAGGCTTAATTTTTTATACATGAAAACAGTGAACTGCATGATCATCCTAGTCGGAGAGGCTTTTGCATTTCAACTTGTTTCTTACTTAACCATCTCTTAATTATATCCTAATTCTATAGTCCTCTAATTTAGTATTATACAATAATTTACAGGGGCTTTTTCGGGATCCAAAAATCCCTAAAAAAGGTTGTTTTAAATACTTCGTCTAAAAATTTGTTTCCGAGAAAATTATATTTCGATGCCTTTGAGAAAAACAATTCAACTGATTATGGGCGTTTTTGAATTACCACGATGCTATAAACGTAGGTTGTGGTTACTAAGTACATATATTATTATACCTAAACAATATTCTATCTTGAGTGACAAGTTTCTGCGTGGTATGCAATACAATCAGGAACATTATTGCTTGGTACAAGGATATCCATTCCAGAGATTGACCCATTCTTCAAGTTTGGAACATTTTTAAGATATATGATAATAATTTGGGCATTATTCGTTTGTAAGGTATTTTATGTCAGGCAGAAATGTGCTCTTGGCTCCGCCAGCCCTTCAGGGTCTTTTTAACTAAGACCAAATGGTAAAAAATATATTGGGCCCAGGCACTTCAAATTCCTTGGGGAAAACACGCACAGTTAATTATCAATATTAATGTCGGTGTATAATATAAAATTTGTAAGAGTAAGAATATTGCCTGTTCATCTAGGACCATGTACCATGTATTAAAGAATAAGAGATTTATAAAAAGTAACATGCTTTTTTCAGATAGCAGATATGAGATAGGATGTGCGTAGTGGTTAAAGTGCAAATTCAAAAATCATTTGGATATGCATTTATTCATGTGAGGTTATGCATGTGTGAAGCTTCATACAGATTTTACATATTACTACTACATGCATTTCAAAATATTCCTAATTCAAGGTTGCCTGTAAAATGAGAAAAGCTATTGAGTAGCTTAATCTGCAGTCCTCCATCGTTATTTAACTTAAATTCTTTTATTTATGTTCTAATATTTTAGGCAACTACATGATTAACTGTCTATTACTTATTTTTTAATTCAAAATGTTAAATAATCGCAGCAAATATTAATTCAGTTGATAAAGATTGGACTTATGATTTACAAAATTATAGGTCCAAATTTTGTTGTTAACATAAGAACTTTGTTGATAGACAATCTATAAATATTCTTTTAAGCATTTTTTAAATTTTGAAACATGCCTTGATCCTAATATCAAAGCTTAACCGACCTAAATTTTTTGTTATACGAAATACAAGGATTAAACAGTAATTTGAATCTTAAACTATAAGTTTAAAAGTAATTTAAACCCT